GAAATGAATTATGCACTGATGCTTTCCTAATGATAATTGATATCCACAATACAATAATCTGAAAGGCTATATTTTCCAGCATTTTCACCTGTCCAAAGGTAATCTTCAGAATGATCAACAATTTGTCGTAAGAAGATTCGATAAAACCTTTCACAAGGTGATTACAAATTTTTGCACAGTGATAAATTTGGTGAGCTAGTGAAGTCTTCATTCTGTGAGATTAGTTATTGCAATGTTATCACAGCTGCCAATGTCTACCACAACCTGCCTGGGGAGCGAAATGTAGGTCAAAACAGCTCGATACGTCATCAAACATAAGAATTTGACAATTGAGTAGAGAGATAGTAACCCTTTTGAGGATGCATCACAATGCTGACCCAACTCACATCCAATTATGACGCAATGACTATTAGTTTTGCTTTTATAAGAGAAATAATAACAGAAGAGAAGCAAAAATTGTGCTTATTTTAAGGTATTCATCTAGCCTAGATATAGCAGCTTAGGATCTTCCATTTGCAACCGAAAAGGAGATGTGAACACAACAAGGGCCGTGTGACCATCCAGGTCATACGGACTGTATCTCCAGTTTTCACACTCAAATGCCTCGATCCGGCTATGGTGGCTGGACCACAAGTGTTAAATTCTTTGGTCACTGCCCTGACCACAGTCTCCGAATTCGTGATATTTCGTCTATAAGTCAATTCAATACTTGTAAAATCACATTTTTATTTAGGCACCTTAAGTTCTTCGCAGGTAGACTCCGAAATTGAGCACACATCGTCGATCAAAGCGCTAAGCCTACACACCCAATGTTAAATGATATTATAGTAAATGTATACGCCATTGGTGATAAGATAAACGAGGTGTGTCAAATTCCTACTCGTGTTCATGGTTCGAAGGCCAATTCACAAGCTCGTTGGGTCCATATTCAACTCGACTCATAACCAGTGTTTAAATTAACCTTCCCGAAGTAAATTTTTCATTAATTTAATTGACTCGCCTCATTTGTGACCGATCTAAAAGGCTGCCTCATAATTTTTTAAGTCTTTACCTGACCAAACCGATTACTGCATACATTTTAGATAGCGTTGTTTGCAGCACAGATGCAGTTTTTACCCTAAATGATCATGTCCATGTACACGTTTGTAGACATACGGGTTTCGCATATATATTCCCATTAATGCGGGATCCCCAAAACTACTCAAAACTTGTCATAAAAGATTAAAATGCCACTATTCTTGAACCTTTGCAAAGATAAAATACTTTTAAACGCATGAAGAGTGTAGTGCTCCGCCACTTCACTGAATACGAAAGTATTCAATGCACAAGAAAAATAAATGCATTTAAAATGCAGTAGGGGTTGGGGCTACTGAAATGGCTCAGAGGTCAGTCCACCCGATGAAGTCACAATTGTCAACATCTACCGCATTATATAGCCCCTCTCCTCTTTTGAGCGTCGTCCTCGACATCCAGTGTCAGTCATCGCAACGCAATCAGTGCTGAAAGAAAACATCCACTACCCAACCGTGTCGGTCATCGAATAACATGCCAATGAGAAGATACTTGGTCACAACGTCATTGGTCCCGCTTGGCGATTATACTGAATCTGGAGTTTCGTCCTGTCACGCGTGTCTACAGCCTGACGTAGGAACGTTGGCCTGATACACACTTATAGGGGAGGATGGAATTTAACATAGGGTTTCGCGTCTATGCATCCTTGCCACGTCTTTGTCACTCGGTTACAGCCTAGTCGTATCCATTTGGATTCTATCCAGCTAGTAAAGATTTGGGGGAGGTACCACGAGTTTGCTTTATCGATGTCTCCATACAGGTTAATAGCCGGTGTAGCTTTCGTTGTTAATAGCTTTCCGGTGGAACACAGAACTGAAGTAGTTGCCCAAGGTAGGCATAATTTTCAGCCCTTCTGTTTCGAGTCATCATCAGGTCCCTTATCCGAAAGATATACACTTCTTCCGTTCCGCTAAATTTCACCACCCGAAAGTAGAAATGGGCAAAGGTGTCCTTCAAGAGCTGGTACGCTTCCCGTTGTCACCAGTTTAGAACCCCGAGACTTGCCTGATGACGAATGAAGACGTTATGCCCGGGTAGAATATATATATTCTACATATAGTAGGGGCTGGGGCTACTTGTATGGCCCATAAGTCAGCCAACCCAGCAAAGGTGCAATGGTCAAGACAAAAATTGACCCTTAACCAAAACCGCGAGTTAAATAATTTACGTATTACACAATGTCTTCTAGCGAGGGCCAAATTTTTCTAAAAAATGACCCCTTTCATTAAAGAACTCCTGTGATTTTGCGACACTTGATTAATTTACTGACTCTTTTAAAAACTTGACACAATTCACCACTTGTTTGCTTGTTTACGCTAACTGAATGCATAACTAATCCACTAACTGCCGTTTGCCTAAGCTTGGATGAACTGATGAAGTGGAGATGAGGCAATAAGAAACAAACATGACCACTGCCATGGTTCTGGGATAGTACCACAGCTCCATCATAGAGCCGAGCAACGGTGTATATTGACTACCATCAGTCGTTCAGAACAGAGAGCTGCATACATTAATACCATCGAAAGGTGGTTACAAAGTAGCGAGGCGACACAAGGTGAGGTGATGGAACAAATATTGAGGTCGATTAATGAAACGAAAAATCTGGCCATAGTGGCCAATCAAATAAAGTTAAATCGGATTGGCGACAACCCACTAATCGATTATTGGGTGAGCAAGCCTATAAAAGGCCACATCGAGTTAGTAGTGTGATGCAGTAACGGCTCAAGGGAGTTAACAGGCCGTAGTCAGTGTAAAGGTACGGTAGTAATAAAGGCGACGTAAGTGAAGTTGTATGATTTTTATGCATAAAAGTAGCGGCCTAGGAATAGCTATTAAAACTACCTTCTAGAAAGAAAATGCATCTAGTAGAAATCCGGCGCAACAACGAAAGTGGATTTAAAATAGCTGCCTTTCTGTTTATTTTATTTCCGGTGACAAAAGCGCAGTAGAGTTGAATTTAGTGAGCAAATGTGAAGCTTGTCAACTTCACTGCGAGACTTGTAACAGCGTTGTTATAAATACGCCTCAATTAATAAATTGGTACCCCTCTGCTTCTGATTTTTGTCCTCCAACTCACACTATTACTCACTGAATAAATTGCTAACCACTGCTAGACATCTACATCTCCTACGCTGTTGGAGTTGACAGTAGTGATTATTGTGTTCTGCCCATCGTTTACGTCGCTCCTTTAGTGTAAGATTAAACTGATCACATTTCTAGACAAGCAAATTGCGGTTTGGTTTTTCGTCTGTTAGGGTAAAATATAAGAGTCTGCAAATTGTATCACCTTTTTTCATAACAGTTCTTGATGAAGAAATATATCAACCAGCAGCAATCAATGAGGATACCTCCTAATATCAATGACATCGCTCATGATCAAGAGTACAGCGGTGGATACCCCTCACACTCCCAGTGGGACAGGCAGCCAGTGCAGATTCCAGACACCTCGTGCTTGTATTTCGACTCTCACTTATCAAAGTCCCACTTTCCTCCTGGTCCCAATTCTTCGCTTAATACAGTGCAGTCGAAGCGTTACTTAAGGAATTTTGAAGAAACGACCATCATTTTTACGCATACTCCCTTCTTTCGAAGCAAACATTTAACCCAATTTTACTCACTCGCGGAACCACAATGCTGTTCATTGACAGCGTCGCACACCAGCATACCGAGTCATCTAGCTCCAGTGGCAGATTCGACAAATGCGAATTGGCGAAATCGGAAGCCCTACCCTAGAATTGATGCCCATCGAAGGCAGCTCATTCAATACCATCTTCGTTTGCTGTTGCATGCTCAATACTGTCGACGGCGAGGGCTCAAACGTTCAATTCAATGCAATAATCGACACTGCCATACATTGCAAAACGTGCTCAGGCATTTGGAGCAATGTGATAGAGAAAAAAGTTGTTTAATACAGCACTGCGTTTCATCTAGATGGTTAATTAGGCACTGGAAGAACTGCGTAAATCTCGACTGTCCAATCTGTGGAGATTTGCTACGAGAGCGTCAACAGGGAGGTCTGCCATCATGGCAACAGTAGCGATCTCACGCAGCGATTTGGAGACCTGTACAGTACTTTCGAGCTACAAAAGCGAAGTGGTCCAGATGGGTTCATTTTGCACGAATCTATTAATGCACGTATTCGCAGACCGCCGAGTCCATGGTTCCTTAAATGAATTTTCCCATAGTGACAACCACACTAAAGCATTCTTCTGGATACCAATGGATTTGTCTTGTCCCCGCAATCACGAGCACCAAGTCACCAGTCAAAGGCCTTTGGGTCATTTTTAGCTCCTCTGTTACATCAACCAGCCAAGTAGTTTTAACCATATCTATTGTTAACACCCCCAAATCCTAAGACATGCGTGGGTTTTACAATCACTTTTTCTTTTTAGCTTTTGCTTAGTGTTTTGGGATGTGTACATTTGTTTAAACACACCTGTTATTTGGATACGCGAAACAGTTATGTTGGTTTAACGGTGGCCAAAGCAAAAGGACTGAAAATTTTATAGCTTAACGACTGTGGACTCATGCTATCCACGATGTTATGCCATGAAATGACTGTCATTTTGTGGTCCTAAGCCATTTACAATGAACCATTGGGAGTTGAAGGAGCTGATTTGGGTTAGAGGGACTTGACAAAGAACCGTGTGCTCCAAATTACATGCACTTTACTGGATAATGCATGGCGGCGCCTTCATGGACGTGCCTCCTACAGGACACTCAATGAAGTCGAGTTAAACTCTTCTCGTGGACATGTATAGAAGTTGCGGTTGAAAAGGATAGGGTATAAACTAATGGTTATTGCATAATGGTTGTTTCGTTCAAACATGATTTAAAGCCAATGGATGTTTTTTTCTGGATTCTCATTAATCACTATTAATTATAGTCGAGATGGATACTGCCTATTTGGAAGTAAAACAGACTTCAAGAGCCGACAATGCGGTAATCCACTGAAACACCAAGTACGTGTGTCTCAGTAAGTTGGGTATGGTAATTGTCATAATGACTTAGTCGGCATTTCGCTGCCGTTCTTTTGATGACATTGTGGCGATTTATAACCTTTTCATACTTGACTCGGACGCTTGCAACCCCTGAAACTGTTTTTGCCTAATATTTTGGAACTTTCATTTGGTGGCTAACGTCCAAGCATTCTAAAAGTTTTGTGCTGTCGCTCAGTCTCTCCTGGTTAGTTCATTAAAAACAGCGATGCACTAGAAGAAGCAAATTATCCTGACAGCTACTCGAAGATCAAAGTCAATTCGCTGTTGGGAGCATATGTGACTAAGCTCACTAACTCTAACACCTACTCCGACTCCGACACGGTGTCCAGCTTTCGGCGCTTTTTACAACCCACATATCTATGTGGTGCATAAACTAGCAACCTTGTTTTACTGGTTTAGTAATGATAAGGGGGGTTATGTCTCGGTTACATGCATAGCATGACTGTTTTCACTGTTTATTTGGAAACAGGGACACGCATTAGTAGGTTTAACAAATCGGCACAGTGTTCGCAAGTTTTTACTTGTATATTGCGGGCTACAACCGGCAAAAATGGAATGGAGGGCTTATTTTTGTTGAGAGTGAGACATTTGGGCTAAATTAGGTAGTCATGATGAATATTTTATCAATTCTTGTGAAGACAAGAAGGAGAGTAGTCCAATGGTCCTAAAAGTGGACAAATATGTATGAGGTGATTTTTTAATACAACATTTGAGAAGGGTGATGAAAACTTCCCTTGTCATCAGTTGGTTATCAACTCTGTATTCTTTCTGATTTTGTGTAGCCAAAGCACTTATTGAAGACCTGAAACAGAAAGGGTGCTGATGGCCAACTATTTGAAATTGGCTGTTTAAGAGCAGGGATAATTGCCATGATCATGCAGCTACACGGAAATCCATAATAATTTTAAGAAGAATGTTAAATTCCTAATTGTCTCTAAATTTTCCATTAAACCAACTTTGTTCAAAAGAGCTCATCGATATATCCACGCGTTCTTGCTGCCCTTATAATTTTCATTTGCTATATTCGTATCCTATTTCAGCCAAATGAGTGACTACCTAGCCAGTTATACGCAAAGCTTCTTCCGATATGAGACCTGTTCCGCAATAGCATAAATGAAATTCGTCAAACCGAGTTGAAGTAAGACGTCTCACACACATGAAATGGCTCTTTCCTTATAGGCTTTAGTGATCCCTGTGCTCACTGAAAAGATTCAGTGTCTGCTCAACTTCACCACACGTTTCGGGTCACGATGCAGACAGCTGGGCGATCTTGGCGGCTGCATCGACAATGTCATCGCCTCCAGCTCAAGAAACTCTTTGTTTTCCATCAACATTGTCCAAGTTTTAGCACAATCCACTCTTGTACCTAATACTGATACCCAGCCCCCGGGTACATGCCATCCTCCGTTACCTAGTCTTCTAGATTGCATTGCTTGTGTTAAAGCAGAAGTTTAATGAGAGAAGTGGAGAAATATCTCAAATGGACTGGAATGATTTCACAAGACATCACACCAAGCCTGGAAAGGTGCGTAATGGGTTTTGCACCTCAAAATGCATTGCAGGCTCATGCACCTAATGGCGGTTGATGCGACATTCAACCAAAAATACGCGTGGTTAAGACGAAATTTTCAAATTGTTAGACTTTACCTTTCTCTGGTCCAAATAAAATGCGTTTCTTTACTAAGGGCGGTCTAAAATAATTGTCCAAAATACAACCTAATCTATTTCACTTAAAGCTTACGACGATAGGGATTAAGCAATGAATGCGATAAATGGTTGTATAGTCTATAACATGTTAATATCTTATTGTTCCTAAATAATAGTAGATTTGTTATCAATTTGAAATGAAAAAAAAATCAACTACACTAAGGGGTATTCAAACCCGAGGTCAGATCAGTTGGCTGTTAGTCACGACGTAGGCATGACTCAATGGTCAACTGCCGAGGCATTCGCTACCAGCATGTCAGTTACGTGACGTTCTGCCATGTGTACATGAGTCCGGGGGTAGCCATTGCGTGACATGACAAGTTGGTCGTTCCTCAGTTCACGAGAGGTGCGATTGCACAAAATGTTATTACAAACACTGACTGAGTTGAAAACACGTAAAATGGAAGTGTGATGTTTTAGGCCTAGGAAGAGTTGCTTTTTAGTTGTTGAATAAGGATATTAAAGTACGTGGGTCATTGGTTCCTGTTAGTTGATTTGTAAACCATTTAAATTGTATTTTTATGCCATTTTTTGCTTAAATTTAAGTGCGGCGAAAACACTAAACGCATGCAGAAGACTAGTTTGGGTCTTTTCCATCAATTATTTACGATAATGACAATATTTAGAAGCGTATGTGTGGAGATGAATAGCACCTTTAGGGAGTGACCCATGAACCTAAAGATTGCTCTTCCCGATATTCGAACGTTTGTTCGTATTCAGTTAGTGATTCAAGTCAAACGTGATAATTTCAGAGCCCTCTAAATCATTAATTTAAGCTCAAAGTGAATTTGGGCAATTTGTTTTATTCTTTTATAAATCCAAGAGTAGATATTATTAGTTAGGAGGTAACTCATATTTTAATGCACAAGTTCCTTGTTTGTTTCATATCATACATTTATCCTTAGGAGGGAGTTCATCAGGATAGGTCCCAAAATATTGCAAATTGTTTGAGGTAGAGGTGAATCTCATTATCCTATGGCCGCAAACTAGCATGTGAAACAGATCTCTGCTGAAATTTTTTGATGTTGCATTACCAAGTTTTTCTTAAAAGTGCCTTAAGACTTTGGTCATGAACTCAATAGTTTCAAGCGATTTTTCCGATCCCGGTTCCTTGCAATGACTTGAATGCTGACAGTGAATGAGTCAGATGGACCTCATCCATAGATTTGGGTGAAAGCAGGGAAAAACACTTTCTGGTGGAAAAAATAGGACATGTATAATTCGGAAATATGCTACAAATTAGGGCATGTTTGATACTTAAATTTCTGCAGATCAGAATAGCTGCATTTTACATTTATCCTAATTTGCTATGATTTTGAGTGTTTGTTTAAATGTATGCGCTAGTCATATGAGAGGGGGAGGTGAGAGTTCTTTGACTCGTAATTTGTGACATTGACTGGCCCGGCGTAACTCGTACCCTACGTGCTGTTGACGACAATTACCCTGGTACTAGGACGTTGCCTTGTTGGAAGAAGGAAGAATCGTCCTTTAGAAGTGTTATCAGCCAATAGTAAAGGTAACTGGGAGTTTATCATATGAAAACTGATTAAATCGTGTTTATTTCAGTTTTCTTCAATGGACAATGGTTATATTTCCGCTTTGTTATCACAAGAACTGCCTCGTAACATCAGTGACAATAAAACTAATCAGCAGCAATCCTGTGAACTTTCTCCACACCTCCTGCAACATGTCTCGCCAATTCCAAGCTTAGCTGCCGATAGGATGACCTGGGGACGAGATTCAATGAGCAGCACTATACTGAGAACGGACGACCCAGCCTTTGATTCAGAAGTCATCTGCGCCACTTCTCGGTCCTCGTGCAGTGTTGAACCAATTATTTCATCGCTAGCTACACTGCAGATTACGATGGATGCAAAAAAAACTGTTGCCAACCCAACTTCTTGGTCTTTTGCGCCACATTTGACCAATTCCAGTTGCTTTAATTCCAATTCGTCTTCACACAGCAGTTCAACTCAAGAGTTTCCCCAAAATTCACCACAATCACTTGAGTGGCTTTGTCATGATCATACCGGTGAAGAGAATGACCAAAATTGCGTTTCGTGCAACATTATACGGATGTCTCTTCAGCGCGTCTCCGATTGTAGCAAAGCAGAGAACCGTCAAGATTTATTTTTCACGTTGTCTTCTCTAGTTTCTCCGTCGCGGAAATCCACTCGGCATGGGGGTTTAAAGATAGGATGTCAAAAAGGCGTCTGGCCAAGTGCAGTATCTGGTCAAGTTCAGCCTACCGCTTTTCTGCCCACTAGCTCAGCACTCCCCTCATTCCCATATCAACCGGCTCTTTATCTGTCGATTGCTAATCGCAGCGACAAAATATCTTCCTCTCAAAATAGACCGCAGCTGTTCAAGAAGCTGTTTGCATATAGGCTGCAGCGGGATCGTGGTTTTCGTGAAAGGTGCGCAGTTATTTATTTTAACTAAGTAAACAGATTTAGAGCTAAATTTGATCCACGAATGAACAAATTGACAAGGTGTATGATCGCCATGCGTATTACGCCGGAGGAGGAGGTGAAGTCGTTTGCCATGCCTACAGATGGACGTAATAACCTGCGACAGTTTGTAAAGGAGACTAGACATCGGAGAAGATACTTGTAATTTTCTTGTAGTGACAGCTTCACATCTTTAAATATGCTCTATTTGACGCGTATAAAATTGCCATGATCTGGGACACAAATTTTTATGTGAAAGCTCTTTGTTCTCGGCGTGCATTAATTCCTTCGAATTTGTGAAAAAAGTTTGGGTTAAATGGGATCTAGTGCAGTTTATATTTGTAAACATCACACCTCCTGGGCCATTTGTGCCTGTGTTAACATTGCTAGATTGCATAACAACTTCTTCACATTAGCTTAAGGAAACATCACATTCAGAGTATATAAATGAAGACAAAATAGTCAAAATGTGAAAAATTAGCTTTTCTAGCTTTTAATGAATTACAATTCCATGCTAAAAGCAGTGCAACTTAGACTAAACACAATCTGCTTCATTTGAGGTTTACTACAATAGTTCGCCAAGGGGCTCTAACCGGCATGACGAGAGCTTTTGCCGCTAAGTGATTGCATTGCGTCATTTCCCTCTTTAGAGTGCAAATACCTGTGTCAATGGTGTTTCGCAGGTGTTTCTCCGCATGAAGAAGCCATGCATCCACTTCAATCGGTATTTATCAAACGCTTGCAAATCGTATAATGCGGAGTTCACTGAGTTAAACGAACCAAACACAATGTAAAATATGCAACTGGAGGGCTCAGGGATACGATGCCTGAATATGGTGACTTCACTGCACTCAATGCAATGAACAGATTGGGAAGGAAATTTAACTAGTTTACAAATCAAAAGTTCATGCCTATTTTAATTTTTTTAACTCGATCAATGTGTTTGTAACAGGATTTTCTGCAATCGCACCCTTCGTGAAATGAACTGACAGACAACTCCCCAAGTCACACATTGGCAACCCTCGGACACATGTACACATAGCAGAATGTCACGTTGATGATAGGGGTGTGACAAATGCTTTGGTAGTTGGCTAATGAGTCATGTCTGCATGCTAGCAGATTGTTAGCTGACCTGAACTGGAGTCAAGGCGCAATGCCAGAGGGTGACTTGACATTGGCTACCCGGCACGCACGTGACGTGATATAGAGGTAACATGACATGACAATGCTCTGCAGGGGTTGATCCCATGTTTGGGCGATCGAATGCGTGTGTACTTACGTTAACTAATGCATGCACGATGCGTCTACACACTTTGGAATGCTCCTTCAATAGACGTTGTGCACATGAACGCACCGTCAAATACACCCATTTCTGTTTTAGGACAGTCACGAGTGGAGGAAAGCTGGACTAATGTAAGGTCGAAGTCATTCGGAAAATGTTTTCACAATGTAGTAAAGGAAGGATATTTCATTAAGAGTTTTTGGCTAATCATGTAGAGGAAAAACTGTGATCCAATTGACAGTGTAATTGCAAAACACCACAACTCTGTTTGAGGATGCACCAAATACATTAAATGTCAACTGATGAAGTCTCGCCTTGTTCTTTTAGCTACTACTTCTTATGCATGTCTCAAAGTTGCCAGTAGATACACACACATGGATACACATACAAACGGTTTTCCGAGAGTACACATATTCACTTCTTTACAGAGAACTATATTTCTCCAGTCCTCTAATAT